ACACTACACAGCACCACAGCACCACACCACTACTACTACTACTACTACTACTGCTACTCCTACTACTACTACTACTCCCTACTACTACTACTACTCCTACTCCTACTCCTACTACTACTACTCCTACTCCTACTCCTACTACTACTACTCCTACTCCTACTCCTACTCCTACTACTCTTACTAATACTACTATACCTGTCGAGGGAGAAGTTGAAAATGTCCCTGGAGGCGTCCTCCTCCTAAGCACCTCCGTGGGGCGTGATTTTGTGTATGACTCCTACTCCTACTCCTACTACTACTACTCCTACTCCTACTCCTACTCCTACTACTACTGCTACTGCTACTTCTACTGCTACTGCTACTGCTACGGCTACTGCTACTGCTACTGCTACGGCTACTGCTACTGCTACTGCTACTACTACTGCTACTACTACTACTGCTGCTACTCCTACTACTACTACTACTACTCCTACTCCTACTACTACTACTCCTACTCCTACTCCTACTCCTACTACTACTGCTACTGCTACTTCTACTGCTACTGCTACTGCTACTGCTACGGCTACTGCTACTGCTACGGCTACTGCTACTGCTACTGCTACTACTACTGCTACTACTGCTGCTGCTGCTACTACTACTACTACTCCTACTGCTACTATTCCTACTGCTACTGCTACTGCTGATACTGCTACTGCTACTGCTGCTGCTGCTACTACTACTGCTACTACTACTACTAATACTAATACTACAAATTAAAAAGTAGTACGCTACATTACACAACACTAGTTAAACTACACTACACTAGTTGCATCTAATTACACTACAACTACAGCTACTATTACTACCACAGCTACAACTACAATTACAACTACACTACATACACTACACTACACTAATTACATTACATTACGCTACAGCTACAGCTACAATTACAACTACCACTACATTGCGCTACACTGCACTACACTAATTACACTACACTACACTGCGCTACACTACAACTACACTACATCACAATACACTACACTAGACTACACTGCACTATACCACACTACAATACGCAACACTACAGCACACTACAATACACTACACTAATGACACCACACCACAGCTACAACAGTAACTGCAACTACGCTACGCTAATTACATCACAACTACAGCTTACAACTGAAAATACACTACACTAATTACACTACATTACAACTACAACTTACAACTACAACTCCACCACACTACGCTACAACTCCAACTCCGCTACGCCACACTAATTACACAGTTGTGGTGAGGTGACCGCTGCAACCATTACGACCACTCCAAAAACACAACTCCAACCGCCTTCCGGAGCATCAGTGGGTTTGCTCTGCCATCCCTGATTCACAGCAACTAACCTCTCCTATAGGTTTCCTTTTTTTTGAAACTTCCGCCGCCGCCTTGTGCGGGAAACTGCTGGTGTCTATCTGTCATTGCTGACTTTAGTATATGGAACCCCCATTAAGGTTTCCAACCCCTCGATTTGGAACTGTTTCCCTATTCATGCTTTAAACTACCAATACTTGTAAATGCATTCCACCATTTTTTTCAAAATGCTGGCTTCGGAATGGTCTGTTAAGGATCCCAGTGTCCATCATTGTGGCGACTGATGTAGATATATTCTAGTGAAGGTCCATTGTCTTGACTTAGGTCATCTGAGTAGATTTTATGTCACCAAAGGTTGTTATTTCAAGTTGTTGAGCGATGTGATTGTTTTGCCCCAAACACTTTGGCCACACTGAGGGGTTCTTACGGTAATCGAGGTGGTATCGGAAGGGTTTGGCATTTTCCCTGTAAATTTCCGCACAAAATGCCTCTTGTGGCATGTCATGTCCATGTGCATTTCGACTGCGCAGGCTTGCACGAAACGCTGGCTGCGGGAGAAGCGTCCGGCGTTTTCCCGTTAAATTTCCGGACAAAATGCCTCTTCTGACATGTCCATTTGCATTTCGACTGAGCAGGCTCGCGCAAAACGCTGGCCGCGGAATACGGGTCCGGCATTTTCCCTGTAAATTTCCGCGCAAAATGCCTCCTCTGACATGTCCATGTGCATTTCGACTGCGCAGGCTCGCACAAAACGCTGGCCGCGGGATCCCCTGTAAAATTTCTCACAGAATGCCTCTTGTGACATGTCCATGTGCATTTCGCCTGCGCAGCTCGCACGAAACGCTGGCCGCGCGAGAAGCGTCCGGCGTTTTCCCGTTAAATTTCCGCACGAAATGCCTCTTCTGACATGTCCATTTGCATTTCGACTGAGCAGGCTGGCACAAAATGTGCTTCACGGTCTTGGGATCGGTCTTCCTCCTCAACATCATCATCTTCCTCGCGCCATCATCATCATCATCATCCTCCTCCTCCTCCTCGTCATCGTCATCGTCATCGTCATCGTCGTCGTCGTCATCATCATCATCATCATCATCATCATGGTCTTCCCATCTCCATTATCATTCTCATCATCATCATCATCATCATCTTCTCATCTCCATTATCATTCTCATCATCAACATCATCAGCATCATCATCATGATCATCACCATCACCATCACCATCACCATCATCATCATCATCATCATCGTCACCATCGTCACCATCGCCCCTATCATCATCATCATCATCATCATCACCATCCTCATCCTCGTCATTATCATCATCATCATCATCCTCATCATCATCCTCATCCTCATCCTAATCCTCATCATCATCATCATCGTCATCATCATCATCATCATCATCATGGTCTTCCCATCTCCATTATCATTCTCATCATCATCATCATCATCATCATCATCACCATCATCCTCATCATCATGACCATCATCATCAACATCACCATCAACATCAACATCACCATCAACATCAACATCATCATCAGCATCATCATCAGCATTATAATACATTATCTTCTAACTCCCCCCACACTGTTTGGGGTCTCTTGCCGGGAAAATTTTAAACAAAGGTTTTTAAATGTGGCCACGTCTTGATGACCTACATTTTGTGAGCATTCATATGATTCTCACATGCTTATTTGGGGGCCAAGAAGGCACAAGGAACTGGGCACCCATGCATGAATGAATAAGTTTTTAAAGAATCTCTAATTTGAGATCTTGTCCATGTGTGACAAAATGTGGTTGAGAATGGGTGCGGGACACATCAAATATCGCTGGTATGTTCAATATTGTAAACTGAATAATCCCGCAGTGCACAAAACGCGCCCCTCGATTTAGGACGAAAAAAATAAGCCTAAATCCTGGGGTTGAGGTGGGGTCCAGCCTATCTTGGGGGGTACAAAATGCCGACCAAAAAAACCACCTATCTCAGGAAATACATGTCGCGAGTGGGGCTTATAGGACCAAGAGTCAATATCCATAGGTTTTCGATTAATTGATTCGGGGGTCTTTGGACGTGATTTAGGACGGAAAAAACTCTTCGAGCCAATCTCAAGACCCATGATCAACCGCAGGACACACTTTGTCATTTTCTACTGGTGGCTTGCAGCCACAGTATATAGGTGGCACAGGGCCACCCAATAAAAATGCAAACTGATGACATCAAAGGCAGGGTCAACCTGTTGGAAGGTCAGAAAATTACACATACTAGTATATAGGCCTATAATATCTTCACCGCGGCTAGCGCAATGCAAACAACATGTTTGGTAAGAACACATCTGTTCAACCGGTGGACGAATGTCAGATTTGACCAACGCCATCAATCCCCCTTAGTTTTATGTATCGTGCATGGATCATGATATGGTTGCCATTGGATTCCCTGCCGGTTGGACACAAATAGACGAACAATTCTAATTTCCTTGCTCATTGATCTGAAGCCTATGAATCTGATATTGAATTTGGCACTGGGTTTCGCGGTTGCTTCCAATTGCTTTGGTTCGATTTTGGAAAGAATATTGCGCACAATGAATTGCAATGCCATGTACAGTATCAATTTCAACGTACATGCAAAACCAAAAAATCAGATGAATTGAAGCAAAGCATTGAATATACGACGCATTCGCCTCTGTACAATCGTATTAGTATGAATGTATGGATGCTGTCAAATATGTGTTTCCGATTCCCTTGGTCCTGGAGTTGAGTATCAAAGAATAACTTATCTGCAACTTAGTGAAGAAAAAGTGAAGTGGAGAACAAGTACAGCGGTTCTATCCATCCAAAAAAGCAAATTCCAGAGACCCATTCAATTGCACAATTGCAAGAAAAAAGTGCGAAGTGCCCTGAGGCAACTTTTTTTTCCAACGATTCCGCTATTGGTACATCGGTTGTTTGACAACAGGTTCTGGGTCCGGCCGCGTGGAACAGAAGGGTTCGTGATAAAGGCTGCGACAGCTATAGTCTTTAGTTTTGGGATGTGTTGAGTCAGTGTTGAGCATCGTTGAGGACTCGTCGCCACAGCCCCGGCCTTGGCCAAATAGCTGGACCCACGGTGGAATTTCTTCTGCCGGTCAATGAATCTTTGCCGTCTCGTCAGGCTCGTCTGCTCTCCCATTGCGCAAATCAGAGGAGCTTTCGCCGCACAACGCAAAATGATCAGGAATTATAGCATTACGAATCAACATTGCAAAAGCTACACGCACATATGTATATACAGTATATAAATATACACATACACTTGAACATATTGTGGCCTTTATTGTACTTGTCCACAATTCTCAGTGAGAAACATATTCCCTGAGGTTGGCCCCCCCCCAGCAAGCAAATTGATTTCAAATTGATGCAAATTGTGTCTGCTTGAGGGTGGTAGTGGTTGGTCACTTCTGTCATCATTTCTCTGTGTTCACAAAAGCTATTTTCCGTGGGTTGGTCAATTTCATCATCCCAGACATGATGTGGGTCAAGCAAAACTCCAAGACACAGAAGCAATTTCTGCAACATCGCGTTGTACAAAATATATTTGAAATTATTTGAAGATATTTTTTGGTCAGCTTTGCACCCGGAGAGGAGACAAGAGATCAATCAGGCCTCACCAGATGGATCTTTGTCCTGTCGCCAAAGGCAAAAACAGTCCTAATGTTTAAGCAGAGATCTTGGAAGCACATTTGGCTCAAACATCGGTGTGGGCCAGTGCAGAGGTCGCAAGTTGCACTACTGGCACTCTGACAGTAAAGAGGTGCTTACGATATATGTCAAGTATCATCTGTCGTCATCTGTTGATCTTTCATCTTGCCATTATATTTTCCATGCGATGTTCAATTTCACTTCCTCCTGAAGGTATACAGAGTGCATGCAGTAAATTCCAATATAGGGTTTCTTACATAATCGGACATTATATATATACTCTTCTAGCATAGCTTGCAGAATCTTGGAGATGACTGCAGCTTATGCGCGACGGCGACACCTCGGCAAGAATAGCATCTCCCGCCGCTTCTGCTTCAGCTTCCTAGCAAATAGTCAAACAAAACGTTTCAAAACCAAATCAGACCAGCCTTTTGCATACATGAACGTATAATTTTGCATGTATATACACATAAAAACACAATAATGTATATATATATATAAATATAAAAAATATATATATAATGGACCCCGCCCACATAGAATATAGAATTGAAATTTTGGCTTCCCAGGGCATCCCCATAATTGAACTTGAAAACATTTACTTAGAATACAGTTGACGTCAAAAAACCTATACTTAGAATATCGTTGGGCCATATAAATTCTTTCACTTTTCCAGACGAATTCGTCATTTTTCCATAGAAATTCTTCACTTTTCTTTATAAATCCTTCACGTTTCCATACAAATACAAACTCTTCACTTTTCCATATTTTTGCCATACAAATTCTTTCACTTGTTCAGTCAAATTGATCATTTTTCCATGTATTTATATATATATATATATTTAAGAAATCCTTCGCATTTCTATACAAATTCTTCACTTTTCCATTTTTTTCCATACGAATTCTTCCCTTCGGTGAGCCTGAAAAAATCATTTTTTTAATACAATATGAAAAGAAATTGATCATTTCGGGGCACCTTTTTTTGTTTGTTAAAACGTTCTAGTTTACGGACTTCAGACATCCAGGGGTGCTTCTCCCCAAAGGGAATTACGTATATGATATATTATATTGATATATACCCTTATACTTTTACATGAAAGATACCCCATTCCTTGCAGAACTACATACATAGAATATAGGTCCCCAATGAAAATAGTTAACCATTCCTTTGGGAACACCAACTAATTCCAGTAGTTTTCATTGCAAACTATTTTTTTCCATTGTTCTCCGACACCGTTCGTGGGGGGTACCCTTCGGTGAGCTTGAAAATCTCATTTTTTTAATTCAATATATAAAAAAAATGATCATTTCGGGGGACCTGTTTTTTTGTTGAAACGTTCCAGTTTGGGAACTTCAGATATCCAGGATTGCTGCTACACAAAGGGAATTACGTATATAATAATTATACATGAAGGGGACCCTATTGCTTGCAAAACTACATACATAGAATATAGGTTTCCAGTGAAAAATATTCATCATTTTTTGAAGGAATGCCACCTAAGTCCATTAGTTTTCATTGCAAACTAGTTTTTTATTTTTTTTTTCATAGTTCTCCGACACCGTTCGTGGGGGGTACCCTTCGGTGAGCTTGAAAAACTCATTTTTTAAATACAATATGAAAAGAAATTGATCATTTCGGGGGACCTGTTTTTTTGTTGAAACGTTCCAGTTTAGGAACTTCAGACATCCAGTATTGCTGCTCCCCAAAGGGAATTACGTATTTAATAATTATACATGAAGGGGACCCTATTCCTTGCAGAACTACATACATAGAAAATAGGTCCCCAGTGAAAATATTCATCATTTTTTTAAAGGAATGCCACCTAAGTCCATTGGTTTTCATTGCAACATATTTTTTTCATAGTTCTACGACGCCGGTCGTGGGGGGTACCCTTCGGTGAGCTTGAACAGATCATTTCTTTAACGCAATATAAAAAGACATTGATCATTTCGGGGGACCTGTTTTTTTGTTGAAACGTTCTATTTGAGGAACTTCAGACATCCAGGGTTGCTACTCCCCAAACGGAATTACGTATATCATATACACCCTTTTGAGTGGAAGAGATAAAATTCCTTTCAGAACTACATACATAGAATATAGGTCCCCGGTGAAAATATTCATTCATTTTATTGGCTTTCATTGCAAAAATATGTGTTTGGTCATAGTTTCCCGACACCGGTCGTGGGGGATACCCTTCGGTGAGCTTGAAAAACTCATTTTTTTAATTCAATGTATTAAAAAAAAAAATCATTTCGGGGGACCTGTTTTTTGCGGACTTCAGACATCCAGGATTGCTGCTCCCCAAAGGGAATTATGTATATAATAATCATACATGAAGGGGACCCTATTGCTTGCAAAACTACATACATAGAATATAGGTCCCCAGTGAAAATATTCATCAATTTTTGAAGGAATGCCACCTAAGTCCATTAGTTTTCATTGCAAAATAGTTTATTTTCATAGTTCTCCGACACCGGTCGTGGGGGTTGCCCTTCGGTGAGTTTGAAAAACTATTTTTTTAAATACAATATGAAAAGAAATTGATCATTTCGGGGGACCTGTTTTTTTGTTGAAACGTTCTAGTTTACGGACTTCAGACATCAAAAATTGCTGCTCCCCAAAGGGAATTACGTATATAATAATCATACATGAAGGGGACCCTATTCCTTGCAGAACTACATACATAGAAAATAGGTCCCCAGTGAAAATATTCATCAATTTTTTAAGGAATGCCACCTAAGTCCATTGTTTTCATTGCAAAATAGTTTTTTATATTTTTTTCATAGTTCTCCGACACCGTTCGTGGGGGGTACCCTTCGGTGAGCTTGAAAAACTCATTTTTTTAATACAATATAAAAAGAAATTGATCATTTCGGGGGACCTGTTTTTTTCTTGAAATGTTCCAGTTTAGGAACTTCAGATATCCAGGATTGCTTCTACCCAAAGGGAATTACGTATATAATAATTATTCATGAAGGGGACCCTATTCCTTGCAAAACTACATACATAGAATATAGGTCCCCAGTGAAAATATTCATCATTTTTTAAAGGAATGCCACCTAAGTCCATAGGTTTTCATTGCAAACTAGTGTTTTTTCATAGTTCTACGACGCCGGTCGTGGGGGGTACCCTTCGGTGAGCTTGAACAGATCATTTCTTTAACGCAATATAAAAAGACATTGATCATTTCGGGGGACCTGTTTTTTTGTTGGAACGTTCTAGTTTACGGACTTCAGACATCCAGGATTGCTGCTCCCCAAAGGGAATTACGTATATAATAATCATACATGAAGTGGGCCCTATTCCTTGCAGAACTACATACATAGAAAATAGGTCCCCAGTGAAAATATTCATCCATTTTTTCAGGAACACCACCTAATTCCATTAGTTTTCATTGCAAAATAGTTCTTTTCTCATAGTTCTCGGACACTGGTCGTAGGTACCCTTCGGTGAGCTTGAAAAACTCATTTTTTTTAATACAATATGAAAGGAAATTGATCATTTCGGGGGACCTGTTTTTTTGTTGAAACGTTCTAGTTTACGAACTTCAGACATCCAGGATTGCTGCTCCCCAAAGGGAATTACATATATAATAATCATACATGAAGTGGGCCCTATTCCTTGCAGAACTACATACATAGAAAATAGGTCCCCAGTGAAAATGTTCATTCATTTTTTCAGGAACACCACCTAATTCCATTAGTTTTCATTGCAAAATAGTTCTTTTCTCATAGTTCTCGGACACCGGTCGTAGAGGGTAGGTACCCTTCGGTGAGCTTGAAAAACTATTTTTTTAAATACAATATGAAAAGAAATTGATCATTTCGGGGGACCTGTTTTTTTGTTGAAACGTTCCAGTTTAGGAACTTCAGACATCCAGGATTGCTGCTCCCCAAAGGGAATTATGTATATGATAATTATATAACCTTATACATGGAAAATATCAAATTCCTTGCAGAACTATATACATAGAATATAGGTCCCCAGTGAAAATATTCATCCATTTTTTCAGGAACACCATCTAATTCCATTAGTTTTCATTGCAAAATAGTTCTTTTCTCATAGTTCTCGGACACCGGTCAAGGTGGGTACCTTTAGGTGAGCTTGAACAATTTCAAAAAGGATTTTTATGGTGTTTTGGTGGATTTTAGTGGGGTGAAAAAAATGAAACATGACCATTTATGTTCATTTATGGTGCGGTATGGGTGATATGTTGATAATTCAAAGGATTTTAGTGGGATGGCAATTTGAAAAATGACCATGTATGTCCATTTATGCTGCAATATGGGTGATATTTTGATAATTCAAACGAAAATTAGTGGGGTGAAAAATTGAAAAATATCCATTTATGTCCATTTATGCTGCAGTATGGGTGATATGTTGATAATTCAAATGGGGAGAAAACACATGAGCACGAAATGGGGGCATATTCTAAGTGGAGTTACGGTCGAGTTCAACTGCATAATTGGAAAAACGGATATTCTAAGATAACGGGGTAGATTATACATATATATATTCAATTCTGTTTACACAATTTTCTATAATGATGTATAATCATGGAACTGACCACACTCTTAGACTTCATGAAACTTACAAATGTGAGCGGGAGGATCGAGAGTCGACCTCACAAGTTACCAGTTTGAAGTGGTTTTGGGAGCAAAAACAGGCTACAACGATGTACAACTGAGATACAATGAGCATCAATAGACTCCACCAGACATGTCTGTGGAGCTTTTGCCTGAGAGGGAAATCCGCTACGGCTCCTGGTCTTCAAGGATCAGTTGGAAAAAACAGCGCCTTGGCTGCCCACACTTGCTATTCATTTGATCACACAAGGTTCTGAAACTTCTCAGCACATTCTCTGTCTGGATTTCTAGACAAGCAGCGTATACCGCGAGAACCGCTCGTGCGTGGGGGGATTCCTGCGCCCCGTTCCATGCATAAAGAAATCGAACAGTGCATTTTTTTTGCCTTTCCTTTGCCACCCTGGCATTCCACCAAAGCAACTCTGGTTTCAGAAGAGTTCCCCAAAAAAACTGAATTCCATGAGCTCGATGATGGGTTGTTCGTTCGTGTTTGTTCGCCTCTTTGTTTGCCCTCAGGAATTTGAGTTTCAAGACGTTTCCAAGCAGTCGCTGAGGCCAAAGCAGGTGCAGAACAATCTTCTGCAACAAATGTGTTTGCCTAGGTGTTGTAGGCGTTGCGGCGTTGAAGGTCATTCAAAGAAACGTGACGCATTATAGTGACCGAAGGAAGTTTTGAAGTCAAACTTCCGACTATATGGAGAGATGGAAAAGCAGAGGTGGGAAGAGTCAGAGAAGAGAAGAGAAAGAGAAAGAGAAAGAGAACGAGAACGAGAACAAGAAAGAGAAAGAGAAAGGGAAAGGGAAAGGGAAAGGGAAAGAGAAAGAGGAAGAGGAAGAGGAAGAGAAGAGAGAAGATCAACGAAGAGAAAGAGTCAGAAGGAAGAAGATGCAGGTGCGGGAAAAGGTAGAAAAATCGCCAAACACAGTGTTTTTCCATTGATTTGTGGCCCCGGAAGGTCGAAAAGTACGAGTAGGCTCGCTAAAGCGGCGGGTGCGGAGCCATGTGGCTAGATGCGAGATGAAAAATTGCAGGCCGTCGTGACGCAAAGCACGTGTGGAAGTCAACATGTAGAAAGCACTTCACATTCGGACCACTTTTGGAAGTTGCGATGTGAAAAAAGTGCACGCCGTTGTGGCGCGAAGCACATTTCGAAGTAAAAACGTACAAAGCACACCATTCCCGGAGCACTTTGGAAGTTGAGATCTCGAAAAAGTGCAAGCCGTTGTGGCGGTAAGCACATTTCGAAACAAAACACGCACAAAGCACACCATGCTCGGAGCACTTTTGGAAGTTGAGATGATGCAAAAGTCCACGCCGTTGTGGCCGGAAGCACGTTTCGAAGTCAACATGTACAAAGCAGCTCAGTGTCGGAGCACTTTTGGAAGTTGAGATGCTGAAAAAGTGTACGCTGTGTGGCGCGAAGCACGCGGCACTTTTGGGCGTTCAGATGCCGTTTCGCGTGGCAGGCACAAGGGATTGTGCACCTTGTCAAAAGTGAGCAAAACGTAAGGGTTTTTGCAGCTGCAGCAGTTTCAAAAACGTTAGGAGGCGTGGGACATTTGAAGAGGATCTGCAAAGATGCATTTTCCGTGGCAGGCGCAATACAAGAGACATGTTCATCAGAGATGTTAGGAGGTCCGGGCACTGATTTCCGGAGAGGGCTGCATTTTGGAGCATAAGATCTTCAGTTTTGGGAAGATGATTTTGCGTGACAGGTGCAGCGCTTTGTCAGGTCATCACTTTTGCATGGCAGAACTTTACACAGATGGAGTGGAAAAATTGCAAAACGCATTGGTACGAGGCCGTCAGCTCTGCACTCAACTTTCCATTTCTGAAGGAGGTCTCGCAAAATTGCTTCGGTTTTGATGTTGTCATCTTCGAAAATTGAGGAAGCCTCGCAGAATTAGCAGAATTGCTTCGTTTTTCATGTTGCCACCTTCGAAAATGGAGGAAGCCTTGCAGAATAGCTTCGTTTTCAAGCTTGCAGATAGATAGAAAGATAGCTAGATAGACCGACAGACAGACAGACAGACAGACAGAGAGATAAACAGATAGACAGATAGACAGATAAAATATATATAGATAGAAAGATAGATAGACAAACTGCACCTAAACTACAGCTACAACTACAACTACAACTATAGCTGCACTACAATACATGTACAACTTCAACTACACTTCAACTATACTTCTACTACAGCTTCAACTACTACACTTCAACTAGAACCACAGCTTCAACTACAACTTCAACTACACTTCGATTACACTTCAATTACACTCCAATTACAGCTTCAACCACACTTCAACTAGAACTACAAGTTCAACTACAACTTCAACTACACTTCAACTACAACTACAAGGACAGCTACAACTACAACTGCAACTCCAACTACAGCTACAGCTTCAACTACACTACAGCCACAGCGACGCTACAACTATAGCTACACTACAACTACAGCTACCACTACACTAGCCTAGGCTACAACTACAGCTACAACTGCAACTACAACATGAAAACTACAACGTTACAACTACAACAACATCACCTACCACTACGCTACAACTACAACTACGACTACACTACAGGAAAAACAATTACCACTACACTACAGCACAACTACAACTACAACTCCAACTACACCAGAACTACAACTACACTACAGCTACAACTCCTACAGCTACTGCAACTCCTACAGCTACTACAACAACTGCAATTGCTACAACTACAACTTCAACTACACTACAACTACAACTACAACCACAACTACAACATTACAGCTTCAACAACGTCAACTACACTACAGTTACAACTACGACTACACTACAACCACAACAACAACTGCAACTGCAACTACAACTACATTGCACTTCGCTACACCACACTACATCCTGCAGTTGTGGGTGAGGTGACCACTGCAACTCCAAAAACCACAACCACCTTTCGGTCCATCAGTGGTTTCGCTCTGCCATCCATGCATCACAACAACTCACCTCTCCTATAGTTTCCTAGTTTTGAAACTTCCGCCACTGCCTTGTGCGGTACTACTGGTACCATTCAATACCACTGATTTGTATTGAATTTGCAGCCTCCTATACTGTCCCAATGTGGACTAACAGCAAGCACAAGTAGCTGATGCGGGCTTCAACAATGAGCAAACCTGTTTGCCACTAAGTCATGGGCCCGTCAAACAGAGCATCCAAGCCTGTGTTGTCAGAACTGTAAATCAACTTCTGGGCAATTGATGGCAATTGTAGGTGTCTTGGCTGGACTTTTGAGGTTCTGACCATAATAGAAGTAGTTGTAGTAGTAGTCAAGACTTTTTGACCTCAGTCTTCATGCCATTTCATGCGCCAGCATCCCGTATCAAATCGAATCAAGGACGTCAAGAGTGCTTGCTTCATCTTGCTTCCACTTCTCCAATCTTCTCTGTTTCTTTTCTTACTACAGGTCGTTGGGTCTTGCGTTTCCAGGTCTTTCCGATCTTTCCGTTGCCCACTCACCAGGTCGGGCACCCCTGCGGCGCCCGTGCAGAGTGGATCCGAAATGCATCAACATCTTTGATGCAAACCTGTCAATCGTCTAAGATCGTCTAAGACAAAAGAAGCGTTGTGTGAGGAGCAGCAGCGCAGCATCAATCAGGCAGCGTCCATCATACGGGAAGGGAGCATTCGCAACCATGTATCAAAGAAAGCAACAGAACCTAAAGAACCGATAACCACCGCATACCATCGCTCAACAAAGCTATCCAAATCAGCTGTGACTCCTGCTCTCTGCCTGCTGTGGTGGCCCAAAATCAGACACAACATCCTCGTCACATTTGCAAAGAACGCGCAGAAACAACACAAACCTGCGCATGCACACTTGGGGCTGTGAGACCCATCGTCTTGAATTTGGCGAGATAAGTTTTGACATGCTTTAACTATAAACGTATATATACAATATATATAATTATATATAATTATATATATAAAATGGGTATTGGAGGAAACTCATGGAACTTTAGCTTCTGGGCATTTGGCCTCAGACCAGAGCAAACATGTGTTATTCAATCGTTTGAAAGAATCACCATTTAGAAAAACGAGCTGAAGCTGTCCATTCCAATCCATGAGAAAGGTGAAGCAGAGATGTAGCGGATTTCCTTGTTTTTCGCATCTTGATGCGGCTAGTACATGATATCTCGAATCCAAAAATGGACTTCCCTGAAAAAGCAACAGGCTGATGAGCCTATACGTATGTGTACATATGTATATATATGTATATATATGTATATATATTATATTATATTATATTACATTATATTACATTATATTATATTATATTATATATTGTATATTATATAAATATATTCTATTATATATATATATATTATATTATATTATATATATTAAATATTATATTATATATATATTATATATATTATATATATATTATATATATATTATATATTAAATTATATATATTAAATTATATATAATATATTATATTATATATAATATATTATATATTTTATTTTGTATGATATTTTGTATTCTATTTTGTTCTATTTTGTTCTATTTTGTTATATTTTGTATTTTATTATATTATATTATTCTATTTGACTATGCTGGATGCAGGCTAATGGTTCAAACAATCAACAGACATCAGCAGATATCATCAAATGGGCGTATCAAGCAGGACGAGCAATGCTAGCAGCAATGGCCAGGCCGGAACTTCATGTGGTTTGGAGGCGATCGTGACCAAAGACTTTGAAACTATATTGATATAATACGAAAGATCAAAATATCAAGAAGGGTCATCAACATTATGAAACGATGTAACATGGTGTAACGGAGACCGTCCTGGAGGCTAGCGCACAACCCTACAAATGCTGCAGGATGTCGCAGCTTGTCACTTGGTGTCCTGTGGCATTGCACCAAAGCGCAAGGTCCGCCCTTGGAGTTGGACACCGATTCCAGGCAGAACACTCACTGCCTGAGACGAAAGCAGCGACGCACTGTCTTTGATGAACTTTGAACTTTGAACTTTGATGAAAGCTGATGAAAGCTGATTGAAAGCTGATGAAAGCTGATGAAAGCTGATGAAAGCTGATGAAAGTACGAAGTGCACCGTTCGACCGGGGTCTCACAAAGAGCATGACATTTCCTGAAGTTTGCACACAATTTCCAACACTGCAACCACAGTTACTACAGAACTTCTATTTGCTGGGGAAGTCTACAGAAGTTTGGCCTCCAAGAGCTCCGGCACAGCAGAACAAGGGCTCTGCACCGAAGCCTGCGCTGCCTTGGGCACGGCACAGCAAGATGTCGACTCCAATCTGGTGGAATCAGGCATCTTTTAGCCATTATCAGTGATGTATCAGTCTATTTCTGCACCTATATACACACATACATACATATGTATATATATAATATTTTATGTATGTATGTATGTATGTATGCATGCATGCATGTATGTATGTCAGTCAGTCAGCCAGTCAGTCAGTCAGTCTGTATGTATGTATGTATGCATGTATGTATGTAATGTATGTAATGTATGTAATGTATGTAATGCATGCAATGCATGCAATGTATGCAATGTATGTAATGGATGTAATGGATGTAATGGATGTAATGGATGTAATGGATGTAATGGATGTAATGGATGTAATGGATGTAATGTATGTAATGTATGTAATGTATGTAATGTATGTGATGTATGTAATGCATGTAATGCATGCAATGCATGCAATGTATGTAATGTATGTAATGGATGTAATGGATGTAATGGATGTAATGGATGTAATGGATGTAATGGATGTAATGGATGTAATGGATGTAATGGATGTAATGTATGTAATGTATGTAATGTATGTAATGCATGTAATGCATGTAATGTATGCAATGTATGCAATGTATGCAATGTATGTAATGTATGGTATGGTATGGTATGGTATGGTATGGTATGGTATGTATGTATGTATATAATCATATATATATGTATATGTATTTATATATATATATATGCTTTTTCTCTATTCAGTCTTTTCTGTACTTGATCAAGCAACATCCATATTCAAACACTCTTGTCATTTCCTGCCCACATATGTTTGACTACCACTACCGCCAAATACACACAAAGACACACAAACACAGAGAAGCTGCGGTTTGAGAAACCTTCCGCTTCGTTTGTTCTTTGCATTCACAGTGCGATGTGCCAAAGAGAGATAGCAGCTCGAACAACTGTTTCGCACAGTAATTAATGTTGATGAGTCCCGAAGATTATTCAACTTCGTCCTAGCTCTGGTAGCAACATGCCACTTTCCTGAGCTTCTGACGAATACCCACAATAAGGATGCACTGTCACAAGAGGAAATGTAAATTGCAACTCTCTCTGTGCAGCAGCTTGGCAAGTTTGGAATCTGCCATTGCTTCAGAGCTAGTGGGATTAAATAGACTGAATCAAAAAATAAAAGGGCACACTGGTCCTGTACTGATATGAAATTGAGACCAGTCGCAGCTTGGCTAAGCCAAATTCTACTTCAAGGGGAATAAGATGGCTTCTTGTTGATTTGTGCGCCCTTTTTTCAAAGAGCTGATATCCAAACACTCTGGAAAACGACAGAAATCTCGACTCTGTCATTTACACCACTATTGGTTGAGGTACTGGGATGCCATGAGAGGCCGAGGGAAGACCACATTCAAAACTTGCAAATAAACCGCAAAATACATCAAACTACCACAAATGTGTGGAGCAAAGCGTGCTCCTTGCATCTGCTTACTTGATATTATTCTAGTGGAGTTGTATATGTTGTATTATAATGTATTATATGGATTTATATGGAATCTACATCGTGTGTGACATTGTATTAATACACAAAGACATACCTTGACTGCATGTACTTGCACAGAAAATCGACGACGGCTGCCAGCTGCCTCCCTGCAACGTCCATAGGATGCTCTCCTTTCGCCTCGCAGATCTCTCGGTTTGAGGGCCAATGTCGGACTAAGATGGACACAGGTGAACATGGTGAACTGATGTCAACAGTTGGTAGGAATTGGATGGAATTGGCGTTTTCTGATTGGATCTAGGCAAAAGTCTGCACTCAAACCACAAACTTTCTCGGCCAACATGTTCCGTCTACCCTGACAGATACATCTTGTGAGTCCGGCTGGGGAGGCGGTACCATGCATTTGACAAATCTTGCAAAATGACAAGAGTCTACATTTATGTCTATATAACAGTCATGATACTGCACAGGCTGTACACAGCATAGTGGGAACCATTCAAAGTCAGCCACGGATAGGTTTTATATGACGAGACCAGCATTTCAAGGAAAAACCAATTGAAAAACCTCTGGAAGATTGCCCACTGAGAGAGCGTATCTTGTCTGGCCACAAAAATTGTGTCTGCAGATGGTAAAGCCAAAGTAAACCATGGCCGTCTAACAGTGGAGAAAACATCAAGGGTTACAGATGTTACAGCCTCTTTTCAGTCTGCAGTTGGCTATCTGATCTTTAGAAGGAAATCTCGCTTTGGGGCAGTATCCATCTTATCGATTTGCTTTCAGCTACTGCATCCATACCATATTAACTCTGGTGATTGCATCTCGCGATATCTCGCGGTTGATCTTTAGTTGCTGTAGAGATCTGTAGAGTATCATTCATCTCAATGAATGCTTCCAAAGTTTCAGATCGCTCCCATGTCCACACTTGCGCTCTGCGCTCTGCCCACGCCCTGTAGGAACATAATTTTTCAAGAGCGGCAGTTGCTGTGCCGGTCATCCAATGCTGAAGGCAGGAAGCCACTTGCATTCTTGCCTTTGTCATTTCTTGATCTATGTACCTGTGCTTTCTTCGGTGCAGGCCATTTGGCCTTCAAAATTGAAAGCCCAAATTATGCGGACATGGCATGCCTAGCAGTGTCCAAGATGGCACGAGTTTTCTCTTGCCTCTTTGGTGTTTTGAGCTGGCAACACAATGCCCGAATTCCGGCAAACGCAGGCTCCAAAGGAGAAGTCCGTTTCAAAGCCTAAGCTCAGCACTTTTTGGATCAAACTCACTTGCTGAGTTGCCTGGTCTGCCATGAGAGTTCTTCCCGCCTGCAGGTAAAAAAACCAGCAGAGTGAAACTCAGGCTGTCTGAGCCACTTTGGCTCAAACATTTTCGACATTCATTCGACATTCCGGCAAAGACCCTTGAGGCTCCTGGTATCTGATTGTCGCAGCTAGCTGCAGCTGCCCTGGCCCCAGTGCTGAGTCTTCTTGGCACCTTTGGCCGTGGACCCAAGACTCGCCCGTCTAAGGGCAGGGCTGCTGAGAAGGCAACACATAGTGCACACACACAAAACAAGGTTTTCTTGCCATTTCGAACGAGTATATGAGCCATCCGAAGCCTAAACACGCTTCAACTGCCTAAGCACACCTAAACATCCTAAACAAGCAATGCATGGCAATCAATGCCAAAGCAATGTCTTAAATGTCTGAAGTTAGATGGCAATAACGGCTATAAGTGCTCTGACCAGAACCTCATTTCAGGGGACCCGAGAGAGGCCGAGGAAGCAGGGGATGGCAATTCGAACACAGGATGGTCGGAGAGCTCTGTTGGAATGCAGCCGATTGTGAAGCCCAAAACGTCCTCAAAACATTTAAATTTAAATTATGTTTCACACATTGCCTGATGCAAGACTTGTTGGTGAGCAAGCCAGGCAAATACAAAACATGCCGTGATGCACTCCTTCGTTGCTTCAAGGGAAGGATCAGATTGGAATCCACAATGCGACCTTCCAATGAGCCAGCCATTTCGGTCTGATAAGCTTTCCACTGAAGAAATTGCAACATATGACCATCACACAGACAGTACGGCAGCAAAACCCTGAAGCATTCCTCGGCTCCCCTCCAACTTTGGGAGGGAAAGCGAAGTGCGGATTGATTAGCGGAATTTGCGAACATGACACTGCCTTGTCTTCAAAATTCACAGTCAATTCTGAGCCAGCTGAGTATTTGTCTTGAGCTCAGAAGAATTCAGCACTGATTCTATAATTTTTATAATAGAAAGATATTGAATCAGACATTGTGTATATTTTGCGTGTCACCTTGTTCTGTGCGCTGCTTTGGGTCGAGCTGCCAGCCGACGAGAATGCAAACGAAAAAACAATGCAACACTGCCCGTATCTTCGAATGTCGAATGTCATAACTTCTCTAAACTTCTCTAAACTTCTCTAAACCTGATGCAGGCCTGTTTCCCAAGGGCAGAAGAGGAACATTCCTGGCAGTTGAATGCAATATAATGTAATACCTAATGATATATTGTAGTAGTACCTGACTGCTCTGCATCTCTCGGTACTATCATGATGGAAACTCGACTGTTGGCAGAGGCAGCTGTCAATGACATCAATGACTCATGCTGCTAATCTTTGACTTGTGTCAGAGTCAGGACTTTCCGTTGCAATGTGCTTTCACAATATATGTTATTCTAATACCAGTAGTACCGCACAAGGCGGTGGCGGAAGTTTCAAAAATAGGAAACCTATAGGAGAGGTTGGTTGTTGTGAATCAGGGATGGCAGAGCGAAGCCACTGATGGACTGAAAGGTGCTTGATCTCTCTCGCTCTTTCTATCTCTTTCTCTGATTATCTACCTACCTACCTATCTATCTATTTTCTATGTATCTATCTATCTATCTATCGATCTATCTATCTATCTCTCTCTCTTTCATCTAATTACCCAATCTATCTATCTATCTATCTACCTATCTATCTATCTATCCATCTATCTATCTATCTATCTATCTTTCATCTGTCTATCTGTCTAGCTGTCTACCTGTCTATCTGTCTATCTATCTATCTATCTGTCTATCTGTCTACCTGTCTATCTGTGGTGCAGTGTCATTCAGTGTAATGTAGTGTAGTGTGATGTAGTGTAGTGTAGTGGAGTGTAGTGGAATGTAGTGTAGTGTTGTGTACTGTTGTGTAGTGTAGTGAAATTTAGTGTAATGGAGTGTAGTGGAGTGTAGTTGTGTAGTCGTAGTTGTAGTTGTAGTGTAGTGTAGTGGGGTGTAATCTAGTGAAGTGTAGTGGAAGGAAGGTAGTGTAGTGTAGTGTAATGTAGTGTAGTGGAGTGCAGTGTAGTGTAATGTAGTGAATTTAGTGTAGTGGAGTGTAGTTGTGTAGTTCTGTAGTTGTAGTTGTAGTGTTGTGGAGTGTAGTGTAGTGTACAGTAGTGTAGTGGAGTGCACAGTGTAGTGTAATGTAGTGTAGTGTAGTGGAGTGTAGTGTAATGTACAGTAGTGTAGTGGAGTGTATAGTGTAGTGTAATGTAGTGTAGCGTAGTGGAGTGTATAGTGTAGTGTAATGTATATAGTGTAGTGTAGTGGAGTGTAGTGTAATGTGGTGTAGTGTAGTGTAATTTAGTGTAGTTGAGTGTAGTGGAGTGTAGTGGGGTGTAGTTGTGTAGTTCTGTAGTTGTAGCTGTAGTGTTGTGGAGTGTAGTGTAGTGTAATGTACTGTAGTGTAGTGGAGTGTATAGTGTAGTGTAGTGACCCGAAGCGAAGCGAAGCGACATCTGAACCTCCAAAAGTGGCGCGAACATGTGGTGTTTTGTGCATTTTGACTTGGAAATGTGCTTCGCGCCACAACGGCGTGAAATTTTTCATCTCTCATCTGACCAGCTGGCTCCGCACCCGCCGCTTTAGCGAGCCTACTTTTCGACCCTCCGGAGCCACAAATCATTGGAAAAACACGGTGTTTCGCGACTTTCCTACCTTTTCGCGCATCTGCATCTTCTTTCTTCTGATTTTTCTCTTCTCTCTGCCTCTTCCCTGCTCTGCTTTTCATCTGTCCATATTGTCGGAAGTTTGACTTCTAAACTTCCTTCGAATAATATGTATATATATAATCAATGCTTGTACGTATATATATGTATATATATGTATACAATTTGTATACACATATCATATATACATACATATGCACATACATATGCATATACATATGCACATACATATGCACATACATATGCATATACATATGCACATACATATGCATATACATATGCATATACATATGCATATACATACACATATACATATTATGCATAAACATATTATATACAGATGCATATACATATGCATATCCGTATTACATACATATGCATATTGATATTATATACATATGCATATACATATGCATATACATATGCATATACATATGCAAATACAAATGCATCTACATAAACATTTACACACCATATACGTATGCATGTACATATTATATAAATATGCAAATATATATGCATATACATATGCATATACACATTATATACATATGCATATAGATATGCATATAGATATGCAAATACATATTATATACATATTATATACATATTATATACATATTATATACATATTATATACATATTAAATACATATGCATATACATATTATATACATATGCATATTCCTACTATATTCATATGCATAAACATATGTATATTTATATATATATTGTATACATATGCATATGCATATACATATTATATACATACATCATACATATATGCATATACAGTACATACACATATGATGCACATACAGTGCATACACATATGATTCATTATGATGTGTGCAAAGCTGGCTACTTGGCAAAACCTTGACTTACACAAGTGCAGCTCAGAACGGGAAGGACGGTAGCTCAACATTAGAAGAGAAATTCGTAAGCTTCTCCTGGTACAAGTGGAATGAACATGTATCAAATGGTTCCAGCTTTGTGAGCTGCCATCAGTATCATCAGTTGCATGGCCAGCTGCACTTTCACATGCGTCTGGCTTTTTGTGGCATTCGTTGGCCACAGTACGATTCGGATTTGTAGAGCTTGACATACTGACCAATGCAACTTGGTAGTGACATGTCGCGAACACAACACGCTTGAATGAATCGCACAGTACACACATCGTCAATATCCATGGTTAATATCCATGATGATTGGATCATGATCTCATACGGTCATCAACTGTCACAACCGCTTTTTTCCTGATTGCCAAGCTATGCCAAGCTCTTATCCCAAAAATCTAGGAGCCCTTGCACTTTCGGCAAAGCCACGAGCAGTCTAATTCTGCCCACCAAGCGACTCGATCCTGGAATCACAAGAGGATCGTAGAGGGGAAGAAAACTGCCAAGAAACAGGAGGCAATGACCGAAATTAGGCGCATCGAGGCGCCAGAAGTGCCTACCAGTGACGTCACCAAGACATACCAGGACACTGTATGACACACCGTATGTCACCGTAACATTTTCTTCACTGGTCTTTTACAAAAGCTGATAAGAAGCTGTGACAAGCTGTGACAAGCTGTGACAAGCGCTGGTGGAGCGATGGCAGCTATGGGATGTGGCAAGTTTAGATTTTTTAGATCAGGCCTTCTGAGCGCTCAGGGGAATTGCAATGACAGGCAGTTCACGTAGCCTCGTGAAGTTCGTGAAGCACTGCGAAACCAAAAGACCAAAGCGATGCCAAGGATTTGCCAAAGTGATCCAAAGTGATCCAAAGTGTGCATCAGAGAAAAGGCCAAGTTTTGGTCCCTGGGCAGGGGATATCCTACGTGTTCCTACGTCCATGAAGTATTGTTAAATGATATGAAGTTTCACCTGCTAGAGATTCCAGATTAAAATGTCTGATCTTACATCCCACGTCTGAACTCTGAAGAGCTGTCCCAAACTCTAAGGGTGGAGCTGAGATTCACCTGTGCTAAAAGTTCAGGACCTTAGGTCTTTCACTTCCAAATTCGCTTGTCTGAAGAGACTTGTACTTCATTGATTGTCAACTTCACCCTTCCCATCATAGGCAAACCGACAATCAATGAAATCAGCGACCGCGATGACACAGGTGAGGCCCTGCAAGCTGACAACATGCCATCACCACAAAGTTCAGAACGTTGGAAACAATTGGATGCCGCACTCCAAATGTTCTAGAAGAGTTCTGGAAGTAAGCCTTACTTATTGGGTTTACTTCCAATCATATTCCATGCGCAAGGCCTTGCGCCTTCTTAAGCTATCTCGCCTTGATGGTTGTTAAATCAGTCTTGCAAGATGACCCGGGTGCCAAATGCCAAGAGAATCTTGGAAAAGGAACAGGACTGGCACCAAAGATGTCTGAGTATGTCTAAGTATGTACTCTCTTTACAATTGTTCACAATTCTTGGGAATTCTTGAAAATTCTTCAATCTGCGCGTCTGGAGTGGCGAATCCTCAACTTCTCTGAACTTTCTTGCAACAAACCTTTTAATCTGTGCCTTCTCAAGCACCCTCCAGAGCTCTGCTTGAGGAAGGAGTGCTGCCGTAATGCCGCTGGTCTCAGACATCAGAGCAATGCATCTAAGATTCATGACAATCATGTAAGAATCTCAAGACACCTTGAGACGGGACAAAAACAAATAACATATGTGGACGAAAGGTATTGGACAAACATGGACAAACAATCACAAAATTTTTCAAACACCTTCATCCCATTGGACCATTGGAATGTCCCTGCAGGATCCAGGTTGGTCTGAGGATGCCGCTGGGTACCAGCCAGCACCTACTTTCACCTGCACAGTTCAAACTCAGAGCGCTGCTGTATTCTCAATCATTCTAATACGTTGATTTTGTTAGTACAAATTGGCAAGAAAATTCATTTTTTCGTCGGCTTGGTGTCAAGCATCTTATGAACACCGCTAAACAATGGTCTTCTGGAGCTCGAAACACCGATTTCAAGATATTTCAAGCAACAATAATATCGAAGTGATGGGATATGATGGGACATGATGGGACATGATGGAACATCAACAAAAATTGTTGCGCTAAATCGGTGCCATGTCAAGCTTGGGACATTTTGGGACCTTTCTCTTGGCTCGAGTTCAACGAGTGCCTGCGACCCTCGTGTAGCCAGTAGTGGCACTTTGCACAAGGCCAGGACATCCACCGACAAAGTGCGGCTAGGAGAGCCTTCTGGCACCTCGGATCCACACTTGCAATTTGAATCTGACAGAATCAATTTGACATGAACCAGGAAGGCTGAAGATAGCTCAATCATGCTAAATCAATCACGCTAAATCAAACCTCTCTATCCTTATTATCCTTATTATCTAAAGTCGTGGAGGGTCATAGCAGCATTTGAAACGACTTTCAATTTGCCACCAACGGTGAGTGTCAGCAGTAAGCGGGGCATAGAAGTGAACAACTACAGTGATTGATGTAAGTAGTACATGCTCATGACAATTTAATCACGGTAGGAAAGAATCAATCCATGAGACATGGTAATCACGGTGTGTTCTGCCAAGCCACTGGAAACGGGCACCTTGGTACAACAGGTAGAGCTGCGCAGCTTAAGATGGCGCAGGAATTAAAAAATGCGCACGCAGTGGACTCGCGCAATGTGGCACGACAATTCTGATAATTCTGTCCAGAAGCTGGGGCCAGGTTCCGAGAACTTGGCACATTGATTCTAGGTTCTGTGCGGTTGTCTGACGTGCCGTGACGTTCTGTGGAATGTTTGGACAAAAATTGTCGGTGAGTGACACATGGCAGGGGCAGTTCACTTCATTCTTGTGCAAATCTGTGCCTATGATATCCTAGGAGGTCTCAACAGGATGTTGCCATGACTCCATATTTTGTACCACACAAGATGTGGAACATGCCCCAAATCTGCAGTAGCGGCACTTGCCGTTCTCCACCAGCATGACTCGTAAGCGGACCTTCACGGATCGTTGGGCCCAGTCCCCCATGCAGATTGAGAGAGCTCAAACACTCAGGGAAAATGATGGAACATGATTCGGAACATGTGCATTTGAGGAGACTTGAGGAGACTTGAGGCCCAAGGGGAACGAAAGCTAAGGGTCAAAGGAGCCTGGACCTAGAGACCTGGCAGGATTTGAGCCCGTGACCCGGGAGCTTAGGGGGGAGTTTGAGTGAAAAATCACTGTGTTGGACTCAGGCCTGCCCCTCCCCTTGCTGCAGCAAGAGATAGCAAGAGTAACTCCAGCTAGCTACCGCTAAGGCCGCTAGCTTTCGTGAAGAGGCAATATAAACTTCTCGTCAAAAGTAAAGGTATGAAAATGATTGAAAATGCCTCGTTCTCCACCCACTTGAGCTGGAGCGCGAGCCTTAACCAAAGCAGCTCAACATAAAATAGATTAAAACAGGCGTGGCACTGAAGTTTCTGAACAGCCGCCCACGTTTCCATGGTTTTCCACAACACAGTCACAAACAAGCAGAAACACCTGCCAACATGGTCTGGATTGGTCGGATATGAATGACCACATGACCACACATTACACAAGTACAGGAGTAGATTGCAAATCAAAAGCCGTGTGAGAAGTGCTCGGCGCAAAACCACATGCCACCCTTCTGAAGAAACTTTTCAACATCTGCTGCATTCAACTCTTGTGGCCTATCGGTGCATACCTACTTCTTATGTTTCTCCTTCAGCTGATTATTGCCACAAAGCCGCTTCAGGTGCCAAGCTAATTTACTAAAGCAACAGCGTTCGATTGCCCATCATTGCTTGGACGCTTAATGTGTCTCCATAGGTGGGTCTCTCTATCTGATACCTTCTCTATTTTCTGTAGCGTCTTCACCCTATCATATCTATCATACCTTGTCTCATCTAGACTCGCCTAAGACTTGTTTCATTGCAACATGAAGAGTTGACGTGCTTTGACAAAAGGTGGAAGCAATTCCCACCGGACTGCTGTCACTCTCGCAACTATTATTTGATTTTTGGGTAGTTCTTAATCCTCTCGGATCTCCTAGTAGTCAGTCAAGCGAAGTCAAACATGCAAACTTTGGCTTTCGCTTTCATCCTAAGAGATCCTCAAAGGCTCTGAGGCTATGGCTGTTGGACTCCACCAGAGGGGCTCTCCATCTCAAAGCAGATTGGCTCCTGAATGCAACTCAGTGCAAGGCTCTCAAACATCTCAAACTCAATACTTTACCGAATTCATCCAAATCCAAACAACGCCGAATCTTGAAGAGGCATTGAACGAATAGGAATGCAGAAAGGTCGCATTCTTGTCTGCCCGGGCTTACTAGTTTGTGATGCCTGACCCATTGTATGGTGATGTTTGTGTTCAGAATCCTTGCGGAGCTTTGTGTAATCAATGCAACTTCAGGCCATGCTGGTGTTTGCACATTGTGCGATGTCAACGGATCATTCGACCGGCTGCTTCATGCTACTTTGTGACTCCTTTGGCATTTTTTTTGCTGCCGGTTGCCCAAGTGGGTATATATCTGCCCTATGGAAGGCTCTTTGCGCTACAAACATGTTTAGAGGCGCTAGCTGCGCAAGCAGCTGTCAATACAGATGTCAAACCTCCTGACGTAGTCGGATTGGCAATCTTTGGTCACTGGTCACTTGGTCAAAGTTCAGGTCTAGTGATGGAGCTTAGGATGTTATTGGTATCTTTAGCAATGTGCAAATTTGCACATTGAGGGTTTCCGGCTCAGCACAATGATCCTCTGAATGGGTGCATGTCTTGCTCTGTGGAGGACTCGGGGATCTCACTGCGGAGCAACTTCTGAAGATCTTAGAAGTGATCGAAGTTTGTAAAATTTGTAGACCAACACCCCATCACCATCCATCACCCCTCTAGAACTTTTTGTGGCTCTGAATTTCAGCCTCCAGAAGCCCGTTCTGGTGGACCCATTAATGGGCGAGTTGTGGCAGAAAGCATGGACTACACGGCCGGTTCATTGTGTATGTCCGTGCATTGCGGGCTTGCGGGGAGTCTCTTTTATTTGTCCGAACAAAGGACTTTGGTGATGACAATGTATCCATATTATTATCCAGCGTGCAAACCACATTGGAGTACGTGAGTGATCAGTCCAATAGGCAGGCACATTTGATTCAGAACTATTCACAATGCATAATACAGACATAGTAATGTATTACATTATAATACTATATAGACATATGCTTAACTATACTAAACTATACTTAACTTATAGTTTAATATATATATATAATTATATAATGGTATTTACTTATTCATACATCATGCATTCAATGTTTGAACATATTTCTACAATAGAACATTAGAATCATTACACAGGCAAATCGAGCTAATTATAATGTCATACGCTGCCAGGTCATTCGAAAACCCCGCTTCTTGGCTGATCGAAGAACAACATACAACAACCATCAACAACCATCAACAACCCCTGCTAAGCCCAGAACACAAGCTTGGCAAATCGCATCAGTTCCGCGGTAGGGAGCAGGTGCTTGGGCCTCCTGACAGAAGCCTTGGTATGGGGATGCAGCAGGCATCAGCAGGCAAGGTTTTGGCAAAGTCTTTCGCAGATTTTGGTGATTTTGGATGACTTTGGAAAGGATGGAACAGGACTGAGATTCACTCCTAAGAACGACTTGAAACACTAATATCCGAAAAAAAAATCACAGGACGACCAAAATGAACTAGACTAGGAGCTCAACAAGCAACCACAAAATGCACGTATCGATAGAATTCCAAGGGATCCATGGGTTTGTACAGCCAGGGACAGGGGAAGGTTCAAGGTTAGGAAACCTAGGAAAGCAAAATATATTCAACATTCAAAATTCAAAATACTTCAAACTATGCGGAAATCTCAGGACGTTCTGCATCGTTGTGCAACTTGCAAAACGATCCGCTTTGTTTTGCAAGTTTGGCACCTTGACTGACCACGGACCTTCCCTGGACATGCCTCTTTCAGCCTCCCAAACCGCAAGAATGACTTGGCTGCTCGCGTATGTGTCTCAGCAGAACGCGCCCCGGAACTCCTGGATGGAGTAAATTCGAAATAAACACGAGAATCACGAGAAGAAAGGAAATGAGGGTAAACATTCCTGGCAGGTTCAAATAGCCCCACAAGACACACGTGGACACAATGGATACAGGTTTGGAATGGTTTGGAATGTTTAAACGTGTGCAGAGGTTTCGCACGGCAAACATTAGAAAGCATCTACTTGTCACTCCATTGTGGCGCCGACGCGTCTTGGCCAGTGCCTGCTCCACCTGAAGCATGTTACAAGGTTGGCGCCAAAGGCAAAGCACAAAGTCCGATCCAAGTGCTTGCCGGACAGATTTTGATATGAGGTTTTTATGACTTTGTTCGTCTTTGTCTTTGTCATACTTTAAGTTGTTTGGGAAAGAGCAGGTGATACAAACAAACTCTTGAAGACTTCAAGACTTGAATCGGCCTCAGCTCCCCGCCTTTAACAAAAGTTGCTTCACGGAGGCGAAGCTTGTCAAGGGCAGTCGCATTCCCTGGAATTCAATCATTGTGTGACTCACCTTGGATCGGCAGACTGAGATCCTTTCAAATGTCACTGGATGTCACGGGATCCAACATGATCCAACATGATCCAACATGATCGAACTGGAATGTCTAGGCAATCGGGGCATACGGGCCATCGTGGGTCATGGCCTGTTCACTCGAAGAAGGTCCTGGAGGTGGTCCTTCCACCCAATTCCAAACGCTTCCAAGGCACAGATAGAGTCCTCCACAAGGTGGTTGAGTGTTTAAATTGTTCACTCAATGTTCAATCAATGTTCAATCAACTTCAATCATACCGTGGCAGTTTGCAGATTGGACAGGTGCGGACAGCTGAATGCAAGGCCAATGTGTAGAAAGCAGAGGCTAGCGAGGCCCGGAGGCTCCTCCAGAAGGTGCCCAGCAACTTTTTGGCCTGTGCCCGGCTTTCGGTGTCACCTGCCAATGGCCAAACATCACCTGTGCACTCTACTGATCTCTACCGATCTCTACTGATACACTGAAAACAGACACAATCTTCTTGGATATTGTATAATATTGTATACAGCATCGAATGCATTGCATTTTCATACATTTTGATGTTTACCTACTTCACTCACAAAGATTGTATTTCAAAGCAATGAATCAGCTCGTCTCTGAGCGTGACAAGAACAGTTCTGGCAGCCCTGGCCTTGTGTCAAAATGCCTAGGCAATCTCCCGTCAGCTCCTGAGATCCGATTCAGTGCAAGATGATGCAAAATGATGCAAGATGATGCAAGATGCATATTGCAAAGTATTGCAAAGTATTGCAAAGTATTGCAGTGATCAAGAGATATCAATGATGTGCAACATTGTGCAACTATGTGCAACTCATCTTGCATCAACGCTCTCAGCTTGCGCCCCGGTCTTCACCATCTTCACCTGGGATTCTGAGGGCCTTGCAAAGTCTGGCAAAGATAAGCTGAACCATTGCGTCCAAAATTCGCCTGCAACCAACCGTCTTCCAACGGTCTTCCAACGGTCTTGCAAACATGTGACGCATGTGACATATGGTACTGCGGGATGGCTCTGTGAAAACCTTCTGCACGGGAATCGAATTTGAATATGGAACTGGCAACATCTGTTCCTTCCCTAAGAACAAAGGATAACCGAAGGTATGTAATTATTTGATCGGAAGGAGACAAATGATGCTTCGCTCTTCAGATGTACATCTTCAAATATGTTTATATACACAACTGAAAACAAACAAAGAGTTCAAGTATAGAGATAGCCGGGCTATACCCGGGCTATGAGGTTCATAGTATGAGGAACTCAAATCAGGAGTTCAATGGTAGAGGAATAGTAATAGTAGAGGATGGGATAGGATAGGCATGCGTAAAATTGATTAAAATTGTTAAAGTTCGGTCAGGACGGTGAAAAAATGTAGAAATTGTTGTCTGACCGGGCCTGCTACGATGAGTTGCTTCATCTCCTTGCAGGTGGACTCCGTTGCAGCCAGACCTTTGCCTAGGCACTGAAGGAAACGCAGACTTGCAGGCAACGACTGGAAAGGACATGCCGCATGCATCCGCATGCCAGTACAACAGCTGCTTGAATCTACACGTGCTAACATCTGCCAAACGAACTTGACAACTAGGGAAATGAAAGGGAGAACTGAAGAGGCACAGCTGAAAACGAAGCCAGGACACCCAAAGACAAAAGAAACAGGGGCTGATTCTTCCGGTATTATCATGGAACTTCCTGGCAATAAGAATGCTCAGAGGCCATTCCAAAATGAACTACGCCTTTAACAAGTTGACCCTGGAGTTTTCATGGTTTCTGGCAAAAACTGTATTTTTTAAAAAAAATCATGCTTCTAACGAATCAATCATCATGCCAGGATATCTGGCAGCATTTCATTGCTCACACTTTATTCATACTAGTAGCGAGTAAATCGAATGCACACTTACATGTATTATCATGTATTGTGACCTGGCTTTCTGCGCAAAGTGTCAGTGCACCGAGAGTGCACAGAAGTCCTTTGACACGATTGAAATCCTGTGAAACATCTTTATTTTTGAGCTGACGCTCAGCGTCGGCTCCTCCGGATTACTCGACCCTCCATTTCATCGCAGTGTGGGCTTGAAAGCTATTGAATGAGGACCTGCTTCAGAAATATATTCCTTCGGTTGTTTGGAACATATTTGTTGGAAATAGACGGTTTTTTGGGGAGCAAGTGAGTTCCCGAAAGCTCCTGCGAAGGATTTTTTCTAACGAACTGCTGCCAATTTCAACTTGTTACTTCGTGTAAGCGCGCCTCTGTGCAAAGACTTTCTGTGTAAATGCTTTTGTGTGTAAAAAATTCTGTGTGTAAAAACCCCTTTGTGTAAAGACTTCTTCGTGTAAAATTTTCCTTCTGTGTGTGATTTTTTTTCAGTGTGAAAACGCGTTTGTGTAAAGATTTCTCTGTGTGTAAAAATTTTCGTGTGTAAAAACTCTCTGTGTAAAGGTTTCTCTGTGTAAAAAAATCTGTGTGTAAACGCGTCTGTATGTTAAAACTCTCTGTGTAAAGAGTTCTGTGTAACAGTTTCTGTGTGTAAAAACTCCAAGACGTTGTGCGCAAAAACTCGTTAGAGCAAAGACTTCTCTGTGTAAAACCTTCTGTGTAAAAAACTCCTATGTGTAAAGGCTTCTCTGTGAAAAAACCCCTGTGTGTGTAAAAGTTTGTTGTGTAAACGCTCTTGTGTGTAAAGGCTCCTAGACGTTTGTATGCAAAAACCCCTTAGAGTAAAGACTTCTCTGTGTAAAACCTTCTGTATGTAAAAAGCTCCTTTATGTAAAGACTTCTCCGCGTAAAGCCCCTGTGTGTGTAAAAGCTTCTGTGAGTCTCCTCCCTCCAGCTTTCTTTCGGGTCACGCTGTGGTCCAGTTTCAATCTGCAATGTTGTTTCTTGTGGAAGAATGCAAAGAACATGTGAAAGCATCGCGCGTTTAAAAATTGAACATAAACAGCGCACAAAGTGCTGTAATTTACAGCATTTTGCGCTGTCAGATGGCAAGAACCCGCGTAAATACCACAGTGTTAGTCCTCGAAAGTGGCTAAAACACTGTTATTTACAGGGTTTCGTTCACGTCACGATCTTCGATTTTTTGAAAAAAACGCCTAAATACCAGCGTTTTTTGCATTCATCAAGACAAAACAATGCTTCAAACAGTGCAAAAAATGCTGTAATTTACAGGGGTTTGGCGCTGTCACGGGCAAAAAAGACTTGGTAAATACGAACGTTTCGGCGTCCAAAAGTTGCCAAAACACCGCTATTTACAGTGTTTCGTGCCTTCCACATTTTCTTGAAATTGCAAAAACCGTGTAAATACCAGCATTTTTTTGCGATCAACCCGCCAAAAATATCCAAAAATGCTGTAATTTGCATTTTTTTTATTTTTTTTGTTTTGCTTTCAAAAACACTGGTATTTGCAATGTTTTCTGCATTTCGGGTGCAAAAAGTATTAGTATTTACAGCATTGTCTGCGTTTTTTGCATTGCTCCCGAAAAAGACGTTAACACGCAAAAATGCTGTAATTTCGAAAACCCAAAAATCGCCCAAAAAAAGGGGCAAAACGGCGCCTTTTTCCGATTTCAGGTACCCTCAAAACGGGGGGGGGAATGCTCTTGGAGACGCTTATGAGCGACCCGGATTCCGTCCAAAAAGCTTCCCCCCAGCAGAGTGAAGGATTTTGGGTGTTTTTCGGGGCCCGGCGTCGGAGGGTCGGCGGTTTGGGGCGCGCCTCACCATAGAGCTCTGGGACGCTCGTAACGCATTTGTCAGCATACTCGTGTGGAGCCGGCGGAGCCGAACTTTTGGGGGTTTAAAGACAACTCTGACAACTCTGGTGAATCCCAGCACCAGTATTAGTAATAATTTGTTTTGCCTCTTACTTGCTTGACCAACATTTCGCGGAGGCATTGGTGGACAATGAGTCGCTATCATCACACTGATGTTTGAATTGTAGGCTTAAGTAGAACTTGATCGAAGCATAAATGTTGATGTTGAATTCTTAACAGTTGGGCGGTCAGGAAAAGCATCCCAAAGACAGTGAATACCCACATAGCGTAGCAAGAAAACAACGTGCTGAAAGATTGAAATGCCCTATTATAAAGCCTAAGGCACAAAAAGTGGCCTTCAATAAAAGCGAAATCATGAGAAAAAAATAGAGTCCATATTATGTTGGAAGCACTGCTTCCAATTGTTCGCTGGTTCAACGAAATTGACCCGAACTGTGCAAACAGCAGCCCCCATTGTGCAGCCCATGATTTAAAAATTGCAAAGGGGGTCCGACCTGCCCCGTCCAAACAAACGATTCTCGATTCCAGCCTCGAGAATGACCCGCTTTACATGAAGCTGAACTGATTAGAAGATGCTGAGCTTGTGAATCTGGTGATATTTTGCCAAGAGTCCAAGAACGTTCTTGAAACGTGTTGAGAGCTTAGCAAAGGAAGAAAGAACGCTTTGAATGCACGAAACATCACGAAAACAGGACGTCAAAACAAGGAAAACAAGCCAGTGGTCATGGACGAGCTCCACCCCAGAGCCAATGACCATCAGATCAAACCAAAGACAGGATTGAACATCTCTCAGAACTGTCACCAATTGAATTTCTCAGCCCTCATGTCTTCTCATGTCTTCTCGTGTCTTCTCATGTCTTCTCATGCCTTCTCGCGTCTTCTGTCTTCTCGCGTCTTCTCATGTCTTCTCATGTCTCCTCATGTCTTCTCATGTCTTCTCATGTCTTCTCATGTCTTCTCATATCTCCTCATGTCTTCTCGCGTCTTCTCATGTCTTCTCATGCCTTCTCGCGTCTTCTGTCTTCTCGCGTCTTCTCATGTCTTCTCATGTCTCCTCATGTCTCCTCATGTCTTCTCATGTCTTCTCATGTCTTCTCATGTCTTCTCGTGTCTTCTCATGTCTTCTCATGTCTTCTCGTGTCTTCTGTCTTCTCGTGTCTTCTCGTGTCTTCTCGTGTCTTCTCGTGTCTTCTCGTGTCTTCTCGTGTCTTCTGTCTTCTCGTGTCTTCTCGTGTCTTCTCGTGTCTTCTCGTGTCTTCTGTCTTCTCGTGACTTCTCATGTCTTCTCGTGTCTTCTCGTGTCTTCTCATGTCTTCTCGTGTCTTCTCGTGTCTTCTCGTGTCTTCTCGTGTCTTCTCGTGTCTTATGTCTTCTCGTGTCTTCTGTCTTCTCATGTCTTCTCGTGTCTTCTCGTGTCTTCTCGTGTCTTCTCATGTCTTCTCGTGTCTTCTCGTGTCTTCTCGTGTCTTCTCATGTCTTCTCGTGTCTTCTCTTGTCTTCTCGTGTCTTCTCGTGTCTTCTCGTGTCTTCTCGTGTCTTCTCGTGTCTTCTCGTGTCTTCTCGTGTCTTCTCGTGTCTTCTCGTGTCTTCTCGTGTCTTCTCGTGTCTTCTCGTGTCTTCTCGTCTTCTCGTGTCTTCTCGTCTTCTCGTGTCTTCTCGTGTCTTCTCGTGTCTTCTCGTGTCTTCTCGTGTCTTCTCGTGTCTTCTCTTCTCGTGACTTCTCATGTCTTCTCGTGTCTTCTCGTGTCTTCTCATGTCTTCTCGTGTCTTCTCGTGTCTTCTCGTGTCTTCTCGTGTCTTCTCGTGTCTTCTGTCTTCTCGTGTCTTCTGTCTTCTCGTGTCTTCTCGTGTCTTCTCGTGTCTTCTTGTGTCTTCTCATGTCTTCTCGTGTCTTCTCTTGTCTTCTCGTGTCTTCTCGTGTCTTCTCTTCTCGTGTCTTCTGTCTTCTCGTGTCTTCTGTCTTCTCGTGTCTTCTCGTGTCTTCTCGTGTCTTCTCGTGTCTTCTGTCTTCTCGTGTCTTCTCGTGTCTTCTCGTGTCTTCTCGTGTCTTCTGTCTTCTCGTGTCTTCTCGTGTCTTCTCGTGTCTTCTCGTGTCTTCTCGTGTCTTCTCGTGTCTTCTCTTCTCGTGTCTTCTCATGTCTTCTCGTGTCTTCTCGTGTCTTCTCATGTCTTCTCGTGTCTTCTCGTGTCTTCTCGTGTCTTCTCGTGTCTTCTCGTGTCTTATGTCTTCTCGTGTCTTCTGTCTTCTCATGTCTTCTCGTGTCTTCTCGTGTCTTCTCGTGTCTTCTCATGTCTTCTCGTGTCTTCTCGTGTCTTCTCGTGTCTTCTCGTGTCTTCTCGTGTCTTCTCGTGTCTTCTCGTGTCTTCTCGTGTCTTCTCGTGTCTTCTCGTGTCTTCTCATATCTTCTCGTGTCTTCTCGTGTCTTCTCGTGTCTTCTCGTGACTTCTCATGTCTTCTCGTGTCTTCTCGTGTCTTCTCGTGTCTCTACGACCAGGACGACCAGCCCAAGGTGCAGCACAGGCTTGGAAGCAATGCGCACTGTACGAGCTCAGCAGCATTGATTAGTTGCAGCTGCCGCAGCTGCCGTGCCATGGGCTCCAAAGAAGCCGCTGAGGTTTGGATGTCCGGTCTGAATCCAAGTGCGATACAGCGATCGATATATATATATTATATACGTACACACACACATGTGTATATATATATATTTTATAACAACAGGTCTCAATGCTGTGCGCCAGGAACACTTCCACAGAAAGATTGATGCTGTGTGCTGTGTCAAGAAATATTCCCATGGAACTGCGCTCTAAACAATTTATCAGCTTAAGACTTGAACATGTACAGCGCTGACCACGTCCAGCAAAAAGACAATGTCTCTGTGTGTGTGTGTGAGCGCTTGCGTCTTGGCAAAAAATGTGAAATCAAACAACATTGCAACAACATGCACATGTGACATCCAGAGACCAAACGGCTTGAGAACAAAACACCGCACAAGATCACACAAGCAAGTAACCTGCAACACCTTTCAAGGGCACATAACACAATGCAAGGATGGCGGCTACCACTTGTGTTTTTGTAAATACACATTAATTACTCATCATTACTCAACCATATTGGCACTATATTCATATTGGCACTATCCAGTATTTACTGACGAAGTGCAATTTGACTGAATCATCTCCCCCTTCTCTCCCTGCTGGAAACAGGAATCCCTGCAGCAAGCGTTTCCACCATTTCCTGGCTTTTTGCGACAATGAAACTATCCACCAGTCAGCCATAGGCCATAGGCTATTTGTGGGAACATCTGACAACAAAGTACCATGTTTTCACAGGGCTCCTGCGGCAAAGGGAATTCGAAAGCTAGGCCAGGATATTTCAACCTGGTGAAAGATCGTCCCAGGAAATAGGTTGGAAAGGGTTTCTTTTCTTCCTCTTCCATACACCGTCCAAAAAAACATGCAGACTCTGATTCCTGCCGAAGTGTCAACATGTCGGGAGACTCTCTTCTGATCTCTTTTGTTCTTGTGATCTCAACAACAGAAAAAAGTCCCTTTGCTTGAATATGCGCAACACAAACAGGGGCACTTTCCCTCTCTCTGTCTCTCTCCTTGTCAGCTTGTTGAGTAATATTTGCTATTGCTTCTGAGGAACAAGTATGCAGCTGGTTGATGTTGAAAATCACCAATCCTTGGTGTTGTTGTAAGCAATGTTGAGATCAGCCGCGTGTCAAGAGCGATACTTGCTGACCTTCCGAATCACTTCTAAAATCTGCCAAAGTAGTTGCTGCAACATTTGAAAAGATAGCTCTGCCACTGTCTGAGTGACTTGCCAAGTGGGACCGAACGTCTGATAAACCTACCAGAAAATCATTGCGAACAAGGAATCAAAATGAGCCAAATGCATTCACACGTCTTCCAGTAGTACCGCACAAGGCGGTGGCGGAAGTTTCAAAAATAGGAAACCTATAGGAGAGGTTGGTTGTTGTGAATCAGGGATGGCAGAGCGAAGACACTGATGGACTGAAAGGTGCTTGATCTCTCTCACTTTTTTTTATCTCTTTCTCTGACTATCTACCTACCTACCTATCTATTTTCTATGTATCTATCTATCTATCTATCGATCTATCGATCTATCGATCTGTCTATCTATCTTTCTATCTATCTATCTATCTCTCTCTCTCTCTCTTTCATCTAATTACCCAATCTATCTATCTATCTATCTATCTCTCTCTCTCTTTCTTTCATCTGTCTATCTGTCTAGCTGTCTACCTGTCTATCTGTCTATCTATCTATCTATCTGTCTATCTGTCTACCTGTCTATCTGTGGTGCAGTGTCATTCAGTGTAATGTAATGTAGTGTAATGTAGTGTAGTGTAGTGGAGTGTAGTGTAATGTAGTGTAGTGTACTGTTGTGTAGTTTAGTGTAATGGAGTGTAGTGAAGTGTAATTGTGCAGTCGTAGTTGTAGTTGTAGTGTAGTGGAGTGTAGTGGGGTGTAATGTAGTGAAGTGTAGTGGAAGGTAGTGTAGTGTAGTGTAATGTAGTGTAGTGGAGTGTAGTGTAATTTAGTGTAGTGGAGTGTAGTTGTGTAGTTCTGTAGTTTTAGTTGTAGTATTGTGGAGTGTAGTGTAGTGTAATGTACAGTAGTGTAGTGGAGTGTATAGTGTAGTGTAATGTAGTGTAGCGTAGTGGAGTGTATAGTGTAGTGTAATGTAGTGTAGTGGAGTGTAGTGTAATGTGGTGTAGTGTAGTGTAATTTAGTGTAGTGGAGTGTAGTGGGGTGTAGTTGTGTAGTTCTGTAGTTGTAGCTGTAATGTTGTGGAGTGTAGTGTAGTGTAATGTACTGTAGTGTACAGTGTAGTGTAGTGACCCGAAGCGAAGCGAAGCGACATCTGAACCTCCAAAAGTGGTCCGAACCCCTAGTGTTTTGTACATTTTGACTTCGAAATGTGCTTCGCGCCACAACGGCGTGCACTTTTTCGACATCTCAACTAGTAAAAGTGGTCCGAAGCTGTTGTGTTTTGTACATTTTGACTTCGAAATGTGCTGCGCGCCACAACGGCGGGCAATTTTTCATCTCTCATCTGGCCAGCTGGCTCTGCACCTGCCGCTTTAGCGAGCTTACTTGTCGACCCTCCGGAGCCACAAATCATTGGAAAAACACAGTGTTTCGCGACTTTCCTACCTTTTCGCGCATCTGCATCTCTTTCTTCTGACTCTTTCTCTTCTACTCTTCTTTCTTCTAATCTTTCTCTTCTCTCTGCCTCTTCCCTCCTCTGCTTTTCATCTGTTCATATTGTCGGAAGTTTGACTTCTAAACTTCCTTCGAACAGTAGCAATAGGATTCAAACTTACTTGTTTTTCTGTCAAAAAGTCTAAAAGCCCTTCCATTACCTGCAAAGCGATCCTTTAATCTATAGTCTAGCGCTGTCAAATAAAGCTGAATAGTCTGACTGGACCTTTGCAGTTTTGATGTGCAGCCAATTCTGTGCCAAAATGAAACATGGGAAAGGTTTTGCAAAAAAACGCTGAAACTACACTTCTGAAGCTGTCACTTTTTTGCGCATCACAGTGAACCTCTCGAAGACTCGATGCTGTAAATTTCTGACCGCTGTAGACCAGTTCTGGCCGAGCCTCTATGCAAGGGCAGCTGAATGAAGGGAACAAACATTATTAAGCAACAAAGGAGACAAAACAATGAACACTTTGGCGAAAATGCTCGTCGAATGTACAAAATGCAACATGGCCCAAGGTGGTCAAAAATGGTCAAAAATGGTTACAGTATGTTACAGTAAAGATGGTAAAGTCCTTGTTGCGTCGAACAAATTGGAGAATCGGAGAGTCCGAGTGTGTCGACCTCTTCTCGCACACGTTCAACCTCCTTCAAGCACAAGTCAATACACAGCGTTGTGTCATGCATCCTTTTGCTGTGCTGTTGTGCAACCAAATGTACTTCACATGTTCATTGATTTTCATCCTTCATCATGTGCAACCAAATGTACTTCACATGTTCATTGATTTTCATCCTCCTACTTAATTGGGGTCCTGCAAGCGCACGGAAATTAAGCGAAGGTCCTGGAGAATGCAATTGCGCCCTCTTTGCGAATGACGTGAAGAAAGTTCTCAAATGACAAGACTTTCGGCCTGCTGATAGGAATCAAAGCAAAGCTGAAGCCTGCACCGGCAGTCTGGAGACAGGTAGCTGCCAAAGGGAGAAACACAAAGCGAACTGCGGAAATAAGAACCTCCTTCTGGTGGAACAGACTCCAACGGGAGGAGGGCTGAACTGATATGCGGGACCCGAAATGCCAGATCTGTTTGACTCAAATTTCATGCAAGTCTGCTGGCGTCTGAGGATTGGAATGGATTAGATTCTTGAAACTATTGAAGTTGGGATTGGTAGTTTGTCCCGAGCAACAAAAAAACAACACAGTTTTGACATTTGCTGAGAGCCCCAACCCCCACGTAGGCAACCGGAGAGTCAGGTCGACACTGAAAGGCTGCCGCCTCAGAACTTCAAAGTGAAGAGGCAGGTCTAGGAGGTCTATTTTTCATATGTATGTCACAATTTGTCACAACTTGACTTGTGCCAATATCTTATTCTCATTATTATTCTAAAAAAACTTCTTTCTGAACCGTGTGCTGCGAAGCCAAGGGCTGGAAACCCTCTGCTGAACCTGTGGAACCTGACCTGGCCCTGCACCAAAGATTCCCAAAACCTCCTTTTCCGCAACCTTCTCCGGAACCCGTTGAACCTGACGTGGCTTTCCACCAATAACCTCCCAAACCTTCACCAGAACCTTCACCGGAACCCTGTTGAACCTGCCCTGGCTCTGCACCAAAGCCTCCCGGACCCTTCTCCGGAAACTTCTCCGAAACCCTGTTGAAACTGACCTGGCTCTGCACCAAACCCTCCCAGACCTTCACCGGAACCTTCTCCGGAGCCTTCTTCGGAACCCTGTTGAACCTGACCTGGCTCTGCACCAAAGCCTCCCAGACCTTCTCCGGAACTCTGGAACCCTGTTGAACCTGACCGCTCTGCACCAAAGCCTCCCGGAACCTTCGGAACCTTCTCCGAACCTCGTTGAACCTGGCGCCTGCACCAGTCCACACCGGAGCTATTCTGGGCTGAAGACCCCATTAGATCCCATTAGCATACGCTGTTGGGGAAAAAATATTTTATGTCCAATATATCAAGGAGAACTGACTCACAGGGGAGTAAACTTGCTCTTGGGCTGTGCGTGAGAATCACACACACCCAAAGTGCTGGTTTCCAGCATTGCTAGACTACAACTACAACTACAACTGCAACTACAACTACCAGTAGTATCGCACAAAGCGGTGGCCGAAGTTTCAAAGAAAGGAGACCTATAGGAGAGGTTGGTTGTTGTGAATCACAGATGGCAGAGTGAATCCACTGATGGATCGACAGGTGGTTGGAGTTGTGTTTTTGGAGTGGTTGCAATGGTTGCAGTGGTCACCTTACCACAACTGCTGGATGTAGTGTGGTGTAGTGCAGTTGTAGTTGTAGTTGCAGTTGTAACCGTAGTTGTAGTGTAGTGTAGCTGTAGCTGTAATGTAGTTGAAATTGTGCATTTTCCAGCGCAGTTGCGGTTGTAGTCGTGGTGTGGTGTAATTAGTGTAGTGTAGTGCAGCGTAATGTCGTGTAGTGTTGTGTAGTGCAGTGTGGTATAGTGTAGTGTAGTCTAGTGTAAGGTAGTGTAGTGTAATGTAGTGGTAGTTGTAGTTGCAGTAGCAGTTGCAGCTGTAGTTGTAGTGTAACGCAATGTAATCAGTGTAGTGTAGTGTGGTGTAATGTAGGGTGGTTGTACGTAGTTGTACTTGGATTTGTAGTTGTAATGTGCTGCAATGTAATTCGTGCAGTGTAGTGTACTTGTAATTGTAGTTGTAGTTGTAGTTGTGGTAGTATTTGCCGTTGTAGTTGTTAGTGTATTTGGTGTAGTGTAGTGTAATTAGATGTAATTAGTGTAATGCAGTGTAATTAGTGTAGTGTAATGTAGCGTAGTATATTTGTATTTGTAGTTGTGGCATTAGTGTGGTGTAGTGGTAGTTGTAGTTGTAGTTGTTGTAGCTGTAATTGTCTGTCTGTCTGTCTATCTGTCTGTCTGTTTGTCTGCCTGTCAGTCTACCTGCAAGCTTGAAAACGCAGCAATTTTGCGACACTTCCTCAATTTTTGAACTTGACAACATCCAAACGAAGCAATTCTGCAAGACTTCCTCAATTTTGGAACTTGACACCACCCAAAAAGAAGCACTTCTGCGAGACTTCCTCAATTTCTGAACTTGACAACATCAAAAAGGGAGCAAGTCTGCGAGTCAAATATGGAAAGTTGAGTGCAGAGCTGACGGCCTCCTCCCAATGCATTTTGCGATTTTTCCATTGCATCTGTTTAAAGTATTGCGCCTGCCACGAAAAAGTGAGGCCAGGTCATACGAAGTGCTGCACCTGTCACGCAAAATCATCGTAGCAAACCTGAAGATCTCATGCTCCAAAATGCAACCGCTCTCAGGAAATCAGGGCCCTGACCTTCTAACAGCTCTCATGAACATGTCTTTTGTACTGCGCCTGCCACGGAAAATGCATCTTTGCAGATCCTCTTCAAATGTCCCATGCCTGCCATCGTTTTTGGAAATGCTACAAACCCTCACGTTTTGCTCACTTTTGATAAGGTGCACAATCCCTTGCGCCTGCCACGCAAAACGACGCTTCAAGGTCCAAGTGGCGCGTACATGTGGTGTTTTGTAGATTTTGACTTGGAAATGTGCTTCGCGCCACGACGGCGACGGCGTGCACTTTTTCGACATCTCAACTTCCAAAAGGCTCCAAACCCGTCAGTTTTTGACACTTTTGACTTTGAAATGTGCTTCGCGCCACAACGGCGTGCACTTTTTCGACATCTCAGCTTCCAAAAGTGCTCCGAGGCTGAGGTGTTTTGCGCACTTTGACTTGGAAATGTGCTTCGCGCCACAACGGCGTGCAATTTTGCATCTCTCATCTTGCCAGGCTCCGCACCCGCCGCTTTACCGAGCCTACTTTTCTGACCCTCCGGAGCCCCAAATCATGGGAAAAACACAGTGTTTCGCGACTTTCCTACCTTTTCGCGCACCTGGATCTTCTTTCTTCGGAGACTCGGAGACTTTCTCTTTTTGATATTCTTTCTTCTTCTCTTCTCTTCTCTTCTCTTCTCTGACTTTTCCCATCTCTGCTTTTCATCTGTCCATATTGTCGGAAGTTTGACTTCTAAACTTCCTTCGACAACTACATTACACAACACTACGCTACACTACACTAATTACAATATAACTACACCACACTACAGCTACAACTCCACCACACTACAACTACAACTACAGCTGCGCTGCAGCTAACCTACACTACATCCAGCAGTTGTGGGTGAGGTGACCACTGCAACCATTGCAACCACTCCAAAAACACAACTTCAACCACCTTTCGGTCCATCAGTCAGTTCGCTCTGCCATCCGTGATTCACAACAACTAACCGGGCATGCATGCATGTCTGCATGTCTGCATGCGTGCATGCATGGATGTATGCTAAAGACTGTACGTGTATACACGTATTGATTATGCATGTGCTTTGTGACGGAATTGGAAATTGCAGACCTGAGAGTTGCAGGATACAGTAAAACCCTCATCATTTGCTGTACCAGTACAAGCTGTGCTGATTCGCATGAATTTTTAATACTCAATTTTGTTGCGAACCCAGGTTTGACATTGGACTTGCTGGCGAACGGGCGGCTTATGCAGTCTCAGGTGCGCCCTATACAATCTATAAGCCCACTGAGTCTGTTCACCATGTCCTTCTACACATTGGAGAGTTGACTACACCTAGTCTTCTGGCAAAGGCAAATTTCTCAAGACCTGGAGTACTTCTAAGGCACACGCATCAAAATCATCAAACAAAGCCATACATATATATATATATACACATGTATGTATGTATGTCTGTATGTATGTATGTATGTAGGTATCTATGTACATATATATATATATACATATACATATTGTTAATATTATACACAGTCATTATGCTAGTATAGGGTTTTTCTGTCAAAAATTGAAATAATCTCAGTCAATATCATTCTATCCTATATTGTGAGAAACACATGGAAAAACATTGCCTGCCTGCAACGGCAAAGAATATCACAGTCTGCAGCCAGCTAGAGCGACTGAGTTTCAGCGTCCGGACAGGTCGGAGACATTTTATCTGAGAGCCGAGCTCATCAAAGCTCATTTCTGCACAGTCCAGGCCTCCACAACCAAGCTTAGGCTATGTCAAAGTATCAAGAGTACTCAGCGTACTCTAAAATTCTAAAGCACTTGAAAATCTTCGAGATCATGGTTGCAGAGATAAGTAGCAGCTCGCTTCAATGGAAGTTGTTTGAACGATCTCTATTTCGCACCCTTCCCATCTGTGCCTGGATCCTGGTTCCTTTCTTGTGTGGATTGCATCAGCTGAGGACAGCACTTCCCATTTTCTGTACGATGGAAAGGGCTTTGTTCACTCCCATGCCTAATGGCAAACCATCACCCTCATGGCGCAAGCATGCCGCACGCATTTACAACGTGGCCCAGGCCTAGATAGAAAGCGCCCACTCGATGAGATGGCTCGACAAACCATTGCGCGCCACGGCCTGAAGTTGCAGGTGTAACGTACTGTAGGGCACCAAATCTTAATAACATCTAATAAAAAATATTCCACGCAATGGATCACGACGGGAGGTAACAGGTTTAGTCCTTGCAAGGCAAAAACTTGGAACCACATTCTGCAACATTCTGCAACGTTGGCGAAGAGGCCTGACATGGCTGCTCAGCGACATGAACACGGCCGAGTGTGTGGATATGTGCAGGTCAAGTTTCTTGCTTGGTGGTGCACACGGGTGGAACGACCAGCTGTACCAACATATCTGTGGATCGTGAGTGTGATTGAAGGGAAGTTCAGCCCTCTCTTGAGCCGTCAACACTGACAGATTCCATTTTCAGAGAACAAACCTAGCGCTGACGAAACAATCTGAATCTCCTTGAGTCTGTTAACTTCCCAGTTTGCAGTCTAATGCGAAATTTCAGAGAGTGAAAGTTGTCAAAATGCACTTCGACAACATTAGCTTCGAACATTTTTCCGGTTTGAGAAGTGCAAACCTCAGCGTTGACCTCTGGAACTTCTGGTACAACATGGCACAACAATGCAATACAGACCCAGCATCAGGAAACCTTGAGAGGCATTGGCATTCTGCAGTCCACTGGCACTTCACATGGGCCCAAGTTCCGCAACCCATGCAGCAAAAGTAGCACCAGCGAAGGCAGCGACATCAGCGGTTCAGCCCTAGCTTTCTTGATAAAACAAGGCCGCCTTCTTCTCAGCTTCATTGATTTCATCAAACGAAAGTGAGCCGTTGCCGTTGCGATCCTGGCAAAACCAGGCCGAATCAAAGTGTTCTGACCTATGCGCTCTTGGGGTGGAAGCAGGAAGACAACAACACGAACCGAAAGAGCAAAACCCACGTAAAGTTATGTAACGCATTCTCCTAATATGCCTTCCACTGTCTTGCAATTTGTCGGTGTCGCAAACCAATACGACAACAAGCCGCAATATCTGGGATTCTCTGCGATGCGTTTCATTGCCGAGGAGCAATGCTGTCAAAAAGCTTGTCAATCGTAGCCAGCAACCCCAGTGACACCTGGTCTTGGCATGTCTGCGCACAACTGTTCTCGTCAAGTGCGAGGGCTTATAATTCGGTGGTCTTTAGTTTATAAAAATGTAAATTGAGCGATTGACTTAAAGAACTGTCAATGCTTGACTGTAACAACATTGTGTCAGTGGTAGATCGAGTTGTTGACGCAACCGTATGTCAAACAGCAAAAAATGATAAGGATATGTACTTCAATTTCACATTGATGTACCCAAGTAGAAACTGGTTAATTGAATGACTCGCTCGTGTGCCATTTTGTGCTTACACTTGTCTACTTCGTCCAATTACTATGCACTTTACCCATCAACCTCGCATGACGTTGGCGCAATCAGGGAAATGCGATGGAAATGCGCATTGCAACCATTGCTCACAAAATACAGGGATTGCGCTGGGCAGCCAACTGGAGCATTACACCGTGACTTGCAACCCAAAACCACGAAACACAGTGTCTGGGCCCAGACTCTGGCAGGTAGCGCTTAGGGATATACAGGGGTTACTTGCATTTGGCGTGCCACATGCAACACGCTGCTTATCTATCACAACCTGCAAAGTGCGAACCTTGCAAAAAACAGTGGCGTCACCACGAACTGCGGATTCCATCCCAACGCAAAATTTTGGAATAATAATCCGGCCATGCGCTGTTGTGGTCCTTCAACGGCCTTGTGGTACAATATCTCTGTCCCCGAACAAATGCTGAACCATTACAGCAGAATCAAATTTGGCATTCCGACATGCGGGAATCATTTTTGTTGAATGATGAATTTATTTCCACATTGAGAAAATTAACTGTTGAAAACAAGATGCAGCCCACGAACCCGAATGCTCACACGTATGTTAATGGTAAAGATGTCAAAACACATGGATATGCAGTCACGCAACACACTTTTCTGCAATACTTTAATTGGACAGTGTTGTACATATTTCCCCTGTTACCAGTCTGCAGTGTGGAGTGTGTAGTGTGTGGAGCGTGTAGAGTGTGGAGTGTGGAGTGGAAAGTGTAAAGTGTGGAGTGTGGGGTGTAAAGTGTATAGCGTGGAGTGTGGAGTGTAGAGTGTGGAGTGTGGAGTGTAGAGTGTGGAGTGTGGAGCGTAGAGTGTGGAGTGTGGAGCGTACAGTGTGGAGTGTGGAGTGTAAAGTGTGGAGTGTTAAGTGTAGAGTTTGGAGTGGAAAGTGTAGAGTGTGGAATGTGGAGTGTGGAGTGTAAAGTGTGGAGTGAGGAGTGTGGAGTTTGTAAATTGTAGAATGTGGAGTGTGGAGTGTAGAGTGTAAAGTGTAGAGTGTAAAATGTAGAGTGTGGAGTGTAGAGTGTAAAGTGTAGAGTGTAGAGTGTGGAGTGTGGAGTGAGGAGTGAGGAGTGTAAAGTGTGGAGTGTAAAATGTGGAGTGTAAAATGTGAAGTGTGGAGTGTGTAAAGTGTAGCGTGTGGAGTGTGGAGTGCAGAGTTTAAAGTGTAGAGTGTGAAGTGCGGAGTGTGGAGTGTAAAGTGTAAAGTGTAGAGTGTGAAAGTGGAAAGTGTAGAGTCTGGAGTGCGGAGTGTAAAGTAAGGAGTGTGGAGTGCAAAGTGTGGAGTTTGGAGTGTAAAGTGTGGAGTATGGAGTGGGGAGTGTCAAGTGTAAAGTGTGGAATGTGGAGTGTAAAGTGTAGAGTGTGGAGTGTGGAGTGGAAAGTGTAGAGTGTGGAGTGTGGAGTGTAGAGTGTGGAGTGTGGAGTGTACAGTGTGGAGTGTGGAGTGTGTGAAGTGTCGATTGTGGAGTGTGGAGTGTAGAGTGGAAAGTGGAGAGTGTAAAGTGTAGAGTGTGGAGTGTAGAGTGTAAAGCGTAGAGTGTGGAGTGTGGAGTGAGGAGTTTAAAGTGTAAAGTGTGGAGTGCGGAGTGAAAAGTGTAGATTGTGGAGTGTGAAGTGGAAAGTGTAGAGTGTGGAGTGTGGAGTGTAAAGTGTAGAGTGTGGAGTGTAAAGTGTGTAGTGTGGAGTGAGGAGTGTAAAGTGTGGAGTGGAAAGTGTAGAGTGTGGAGTGTGGAGTGTAAAGTGAGGAGTGTAAAGTGAGGAGTGTGGAGTGTAAAGTGTGTAGTGTGGAGTGACGAGTGAGGAGTGTCGAGTGTGGAGTGTGTAACATGTAGAGTGTGGAGTGTGGAGTGTAAAGTGTCGAGTGAGGAGTGTAAAGTGCAAGGTGTGGAGTGTAAAGTGTAGAGTGTGAAGTGTGGAGTGAGGAGTCTAAAGTGTAAATTGTGGAGTGTGGAGTGTGGAGTGTAAAGTGTGGAGTGTAAAGTGTGGAGTGTGGAGTGGAAAGTGTAGAGTGTGGAGTGTGGAGCGTAAAGTGAAGAGTGTGGAGTGTGGAGCGTAAAGTGAAGAGTGTGGAGTGTGGAGTGTAAAGTGAGGAGTGTGGAGTGTAAAATTTAGAGTGTGGAGTGTAAAATTTAGAGTGTGGAGTGTAGAGTGTAAAGTGTAGAGTGTAAAGTGTAGAGTGTGGAGTGTGGAGTGTAAAGTGAGGAGTGTGGAGTGTAAAGTGCGGAGTGAGGAGTGTAAAGTGTAAAGTGTGGAGTGTAAATTGTGGAGTGGAAAGAGTAGAGTGTGGAGTGTCGAGTGTGGAGTGTAAAGTGTAGAGCGTGGCTTGTGGAGCTTCCCCTGGGCGCAGAAAAACGAGCATTTTGTGCGAGACGTCCTCCAATTTTGACACTTCGTTGCCTCAAAATCGACGTTTTCAGACGAGTTTCTTAGGAACCTCTAAATTTGCTACATCGAAATCAATGTTTCGCGCGAGGCTTCCGTCAATTTTCATCACCTCTCACAAAATGTCACGCCTGCCACGGAATCTGCACTTTGTTGCCACTTGACGCAGCCCTGCCAATGCGATTTGCAAAAAACACGCAGCACGACACGTCTAAAGTGCCGCGCCTCCCAGGCAAAATGACGATATGGACGCGTCCAAAGTGCTGCGCCTGCCACGAAAACTGCAACACATCTTCTGAAAACGTTGCAAAAGTATTGCGCCTGCCACACAAAATGATTTTCCACACGTTACAAAAAACGTCTGAAAGTCACGAAGTGCCACACCTGCCACGCGAAACGAAGCAACGACACGTTTGAAGCCTCCAAAAGTGACCCCTTCTGCAGAACTTACCATAGGCACGGCCATATGGCCCTCACGCGAACGGTTGCGGACGGTTGCGGAAGGTTGCGAACGGTTGCGAACGTAAACGCAACGTCGAGCGAACACACCCCCAGCTCCCAGACCCCCAGAGTGAAACGGGAACCCTTGCTACGCAGTCGGGAAAAAACACGGCACGTGCGTGAACTTGGCGAGGGCCCTAGAACAAGTTATCAATTGATGACGCTTGTCGGTCGTTGATTACACGTTTTTTGTGCTGGAGTGTGTATACATGTTTCCTTGGACAGTTCAGGTACCTCGACGCACATGTATCAAAACAAAAACATACAAAAACATAGCACATGTGATAGTAGGGAATATACCCATGAAGGGTATCGAGATGTGTGTTTTTGGCCGGTGACAAAAAATATCGCACGAATATGCACAAACATACATCCATACCTGTTTGCCTGCTATGCGCCACATACGTTGCAAGTGGATCACAATGCATGGCATCGCCTAGTGCTAGAATGTCTTTTCTGGAGTGGTTGCAATGGTTGCAGTGGTCACCTCACCACAACTGCTGGATGTAGTGTGGTGTAGTGCAGTTGTAGTTGTAGTTGTAGTTGTAGGTGTAGTTGTAGGTGTAGTTGTAGGTGTAGTTGTAGTGGTAGTGGAGTTGTAGTTGTAAGCTGTAGTTGTAATGATTAATGTAGTGTAATTAGTGTAGTGTAGTTGCAGTTGCAGTTGTAGTTGTGGTGTGGTGTAATTGGTGTAGTGTATTGTAGTTTACTGTAGTATACTATACTGTAGCGTGGTATAGAGTAGTGTAGTCTAGTGTATTGTAGTGTAAAGTAGTGTAGTTGTAGTTGTTGCGTAGTGCCGCGTAACGCAATGTAGTGGTAGTTGCAGTTGTAGTGTAATGTAATGTAGTGTAATGAAATATAATGTAATTCGTGTAGTGTATTTTGGTGTAATGTAGTGTAGCTGTAGTTACATGTGCATTTTTAGCTGTAATGTACTGCAATTTAATTAGTGTATTGTAGTGTAATGTAGTGTAGCTGTACTTGTAGTTGTAGCTGTGGCGGTGGTGGTAGTAGTAGTAGTAGCAGCAGTAGTAGTAGTAGTTGTTGTAATAGTTGTAGTAGTTGTAGTAGTTGTAGTAGTAGTTGTTGTAGTAGTAGTTGTTGTTGTAGCAGCAGCAGCAGCAGGAGGAGTAGTAGTAGTAGTAGTAGTAGCTGTTGTAGTAGTTGTAGTGTAATGTAATTAGTGTTGTGTAATGTAGCGTAGTATATTTGTACTCGTAGTTGTGTAGTGATACTTGTAGTTGTAGTTGCAGTTGTAGCTGTCCATCTATCTATCTGTCTACCTGCAGGCTTGAAAACGCAGCTATTTCGAGAGACTTTCTCAGTTTTGAACTTGACAACGTCAAATACGAAACAATTCTGCGAGACTTCCTTCAAAAATGGAAAGTTGCAGAGCTGACGGCATCGTACCAATGCGTTTTGCGATTTTTCCACTCCACCTGTCTAAAGTACTGTGCCGGCCACGAAAAAGTGATGCCAGGCAATACTAAGTGCTGCACCTGTCATGCAAAATCATCTCAGCAAACCTGAAGATCTAATGCTCCAAAATGCAGCCCCCCTCAAGAAATCAGCGCCCTGACCTCCGAACATCTCTGATGAACATGTCTCTTGTAATGCACCTGCCAATACCTGCCACGGAAAATGCATCTTTGCAGATCCTCTTCAAATGTCCCACGCTTGCCATCGTTTTTGGAAATGCAACAAAACCTTCACGTCTTGCTCACTTTTGACAAGGTGCACAATCCCTTGCGCCTGCCACGCAAAACGAAGCTTCAAGGTCCAAGTGGCGCGTACATGTGGTGTTTTGTACATTTTGAC